TCATTCAAATATCCTAGTTTTGGTGTTTCTGCTTTGTTATCTTTTTCTTATAATTTTAAGATGAGTGAATCAGGTTAAACATGGAGGTAATTCAATGTTCCCAAAAGTTTTATTTGTTCCAGCTTCCACCAACGCGCTTCCTATTGTGTCATAGAAGTACTTTTACTAACTACATTTAGTAAATGTTACTCCTACTAGCGACTGTTAACAATCGACAAATTTCTTTAAAATACGACATTTACAGGTCCAATGCGTAATTGTTTCCTATGAATGTTTCCATTTCCTAGTGAAATGTTAACATTTATTAAATTTTCAACTTTTACTGTAACATGTTTAAAATTTAACAGTGCAATGCAAATCAGTACTGCAACTTATCATTTAATAAAAGATAAACCGCAGTTCTCAAATTTTGTTATAATCCGCGTAACATTGTGTATATTTTAGTGTTTTATTGTTAAGCTTTCCATTTTGTAGTCTTCGCCCATTACGTAGATACGCAATTTTAGCAAGAAAACAAACTTTAAATCAATTAATTTCAACCACGCATGCTCCAATTAGTTTAAAAAGCAATTTTATACGCAAACTTATCAATATCATTCCTTTCCGTAAATTACAATACTTTAATATGTTGCCATCGAGTAAATATTTTAAAAAGCTCCGAAAAATTCGCTCTTTACAATTCGACGCAGAGAGATCTGAAGAAAACGACCCATTTAATATCGAGCTGAAATTTCAAAAGGAGAAATTAAGACGAGTTGGCTTTGACAGCGCCACTTTATTCGTCGTTTTTCAATTAGGCTCTGAGACGTTTTCCATTACCTAATACTCATTTGAAACTTGCCTTTCCCTTAGAGAAGAAAAAATATCGACGAAAGATTTCAATCAACGTATATGTATATATTCTGTAAGATGTTTTTCTTTCAAAATTATATTAAATATAATACTAATAAATTTTATTAATATTGTCGCTATGGAAATGTCTAATAAGACGTATTATTTTGTTTTTGTTTGAAGAACATTAAGCGAACACTACCTATTTTTACCATATGATCGACAAAAGGCACCAGAGTTGGTTAATCGTCATATCATAACCCATTTTGTGATACGATGCGAGCATATTTTCATTAAGAGGGTTGTAACAGTTTTGTTCGGATTTTAACATTCTCGCCTTGACCGCTGCTTATAGGCTAGGTGCCATTCTCCGCCGGTGTTGCCACCATCAGAGTATATCGTAAACAACTCATAATATACAAATACACGGGTTTAAATAGCGAGTATACGAAAAAAAAGTATAATTATTCTAAAAGTGTTCAAATTCAAGGTTATTATTTGTGTCAAATTATATAAAATAACTAGCATTCTGGAAAATGATAAATATTTGCGGTATTGCTTTTGCATTTTGGTTTGTGTTATTACGTGTATTTTGTGTTTTTCTTTTAAGATAAGTGCACGAAATATCGAGGGAAAAGTTAAATAAAGTTATTAAAACCTTAGTAAAGCTTAAGTAAAACTTTAGTAAACCCAGAGAGTTGTATTAGCCATCAATAAAGTTTGTACCTATACCTACTATCTCGTATATGGTACCAAAACTGGAGTAGCTGTATAAGACATCACATGCACGATAGGGAAATAATAACAGCTTTTAGTACTGTAGAGAGATGAGGTCAAAAATAAAATACTGGTTAAAAAAATTAAGATTAAAGTTAATTAAGTGTTTGTGAATTATTGAAATTATTATTAATAAAATACAGGGTAAATGTTGAGAGCGAGACTTTGAGTCTTTTTTCTACTTCTTTTTAAAATAAAGGGTGGCAATGGCGCCTCTCATAAGCCGCGGAGGCTCCAAGGAGAACGAGAGTTTGTATTGAAATAACATTTTGTGAGCATATGTAGGTTAATTTAAAGCATTTTTTAAAATATAGAGTGTTCTACAGGGTGTCCATCCTATATATTAATTGATTTTCGGATTCTAGGAAATACTAACTAGGTTTTTGACATATTTATCATTTTCTAAAAATGAAGAACAAATTTTAAATTTCAATAAAAGCTACCTAAATTGAAATTTACCCTGAACAGCCTAGTGTGTAAAGGGAAATTAAAATAACTATGGTTGAACATCATAATACGATGACCAGCAAACTCCATAAGACGACGCATGGTGTCATTGATGACGTGCACCCAAAGTTGTTTTAATTTCCCTATAGTTAAAATAACTATTGTATCTTAAATTAAGTTATAAATAAATAACGCTTTATTATACAAAAAGCCAAAATAGCTTTATCAACAAAGCATTTACAAAACAAACAAAAGCACAACAAATTTACAAACTTGACCCAAAAAGTCATACAGGATGATACAAAATTAATATTGAACATTGGTTACCTTTAAAAGCAAGTTACTCTTTTATTTTAAATGGAACACCCAGTATATTATTCCTTCCAATATTCAACGGGAAATGCATGTCTCTTCCAAATACTATTGAGGTTGTGATATTTGTGATTTTGCGTCAGTAGATATTTATTATTTGATAAAACCTAAACGGCCGTGAGATAGCTTTTGTTAATTTTACAAAAATTAAAGGATGTAGAATAAAATATTGTACGGTTGTTCAATATTTGCGAATATTGAATACTGAACATAAATTATGAGCATTTAAGTATTCTATTAATTGGTGAATGCAGTGTGCATTCGCCAATTAATGGAATAACCAACCAACTAATGCAATCATGTCAATTCACTCTGATGTAGGATAAGTTTCCATTTTTGGCAAATTGCTGAGTTTTTTTTTTAACTGACTGAAAATGATAACTAGTTATTAAAGTTGAACTAATTTGATAGCTGTATTGAAGTAACGTCAAACATATCAAAGCCCACCCTAGATTTTATCAAATAATAAAGATCTACTGACACTAAATAAGCATTAAATCATAAAAATAAAAATATTTATCTAGAAAAATATTTATCTAAGGAGTAGACAACCTTAATAGCATTTTGAAGAGACATGCATTTCCCATTGAATATTGAAATAATATACTGGATGTTCCATTTAAAATAAAGGAGTAACATGCTTTTAAAGGTAACCAATGTTCAATATTAATTTTGTCTCACCCTGTATAACTTTTTGGATCAAGTTTTAATATGATTTACAATAGTTAAATAATAGATTATATTAGGCATATACCGGGTTAATTCCAATTTAGGTAGCTTTTATTGAAATTTAAAACTTCATTTTTAGAAAATGTTAAATATGTCAAAAACATTACATTACCCAAAAAAAGTTACACATCAAAGTTGTTTTTTTGTGTAATGGAACACCCTATATATTAATTGGTTTTCAGATTCTAGGAGGAAAATAAAGGTGTGTTTCATTAGAGAAGTACCGTATCATCGAATAAAAACGGCGTCAGCGATGGCTATGAAATGAAGATCGCTGTCATTTTATATGTAAAATTATATGGTAAATGTCATAGATTGTCATTTTATAGCCATCGCTGACGCCGTGTTTATTCGATCATACGGTACTTCTCTAATGAAACACACCTTTATTTTCCTGCTAGAATCTGTAAATCAATTAATATACAGGGTGGTCCGAATTGTATTCCGGAAACTTCGGCAGCATATTCTGCAGATAAAAATAAATAAAAAAGTTCGTATAAATGTAGGTCCTAAAATGCTTAGTTTCAGAGATACGGGGTGTAGAAGTTTCATTTTTATTTCGATTTTTTCTAAATAATTTTTGAAGTAACGTCAATATTTGGATGAAAATTGGTGTTTGGGAGTTTTTTGGCATGAGAAATTTGATTTTGATGTCAATATGACTCCTACTAGTAGAAGGCGCCACCTACATGCGTTTTAAATATTTTGAAGCGTAATAACTTTTTGTCCGTACCTGTATAAAACTACCGAGCCAAAAAATATACATCTCTGTGACTTTTTACGTAAAAAATATCTCTTTGTAAAAATCGCTACGAGCAACCGTTCTTAAGATATTTAGAATGGAAATAGTCAATACATGTCATTATTGACGAAAAATAAACACGTTGAGTAAATAGTTATTTCACTGAAATAATAAATTTGAAAATTTTTATTTTTTTTAAATTAATCATAAATTTTTCTGCAAAAAATGTTGATAAAACAGTTTCTGTTGAACTTTTGGCGCAAAAATATTTCAAATTTATGATTTCAGTTTAATAACTATATTTAGTCAACATGTTTAATTAATGTCAATGATGACAGGTATTAATAATTTCGATTCCAAATATCTCGAAAACCATTACTCGTAGCGATTTTTACCAAGAGACCTTTTTTACGTAAAAAATGTCGTACATGTATATTTTTTTACTCAGTAGTTTTATACAGGTACGGACAAAAAGTTATTACTCTTCAAACCGGTTAAAAAATATGTAGGTGGCGCCCTCTACTAGTAGGAGCCATATTGACATCAAAATCAAATTTCTCATGTCAAAAAACTTCCAGACACCAATTTTCATTCAAATATTGACTTTACTTCAAAAATTATTTAGAAAAAATCGAAAGAAAAATGAAACTTCTACACCCTGTATCTCCGAAACTAAGCAATTTAGGACATACATTTATACGAACTTTTTTACCTATTTTTATCTGCGGAATATGCTGCCGGAATACAATTCGGACCACCTAACAACTTTGATGTGTAACTTTTTTTGGGGACACTCTGTAGATCTCCCTATATTATAAAATATCTCGATTAGAATTTCTGAGTATAAAACTCTGTATGAAACAGTTTTTTTTCTTAAAACTTTGAATTAATCATTTGTTACTAAAATTTTAAATAATATATTAATATCCCGTTTTGCATTCTATAACCGACTTATTTCTTTGTAAAATAAAATAAACTACTTTGAAATTAAAATGACAGACACATATCTATCACTGTCAAGGATGTTGTCGTTCGACAGACTATACTGTAAAAATTGCATTTTAGTGCGTAGCATTATTAAGCATTAAATGTATGTACTTACATTTGCGTTTGGGGTTTGTTATCAACTTTTTTCCGTTTCTGTTTAATTCCGGTGAGAGCGCTCATCTTGGCAGCCCACACCGGATCGTGCAGCTCACAGTTGAACCTGCAACAAAAAAATAGTATTACAATACTGAAAAACGTAATAGTTTGGATATAGAGCTGGGAAGTTTAGTTCACTTAACCGATTGTGAATAGTACTCGTACAAGTGAATAGTACAAAAGACTAGTTCATTTAGTTTTTAGTTCAGTGAGTTGTAATATTCGTATTTCGAACAGTGAAAGCTATTTATGCTGTGGTGAAAAAATGGAATGAATCAACACAATTATAAATAACAAACAATATTTCAAAGTGATGTATCTAGTATCATTGATAATTGATTAGATATATTGAAAATGATAATAGGATAAATAATGACTTCATAAAATCTATTTTATTTTATTCAAAAGAACAGGAATTCGTCATAAAACCCATAAAACAATAAACATTGTTTATAAAAATTTCAAAATATAATCTTTATTTTTAATAAACAACTAGCATTATAAAGCTAGCAGATGAATGAAATTTGTTAAGAATTAACATGAAAATGTTGAAATGATGAAATGAACTTAAAAGATCCCTTTGATTACGCCAGTAACCTAAATATTTGGTATACCTTTTAAAATACCGCTTATGCCAGTATAATTTATTAAATACATATTAAAGTTCCAGACATTCCTAAGTATAAAACTTCCAGTGCTTACCAACTGGAAACATTTCTGAAATTAATAAAACAAGAATTCTTTCAAAAAATATTTGAACGGAAAAAAGTAATATTCCTTGCATACTTGGGATACATTTCTTACATCAATTATTTATAATTAAGATTTTACGGAAATTCTTCATTCGAATGCAGATGCATGAGCATTTCATAAGAGTAAAAAATAAATATTTAAGAAAATTAGTAACCTTATTTAGAAAAACATTATATGCATTATGCATTAATGCTAAATACCAACTTTTAATAAAAATATTATCTGGAATATCCTTCAAAATACGTGATATTTTTAATATATCAGAATACACCACGGTAACTTGGTAGTAGGCTTTATATATCATGTTAAGTTAGCCTATTCCTTATATAAAATAATAGACACAGTTATACGTATAAATGGGTATTTTTAATGCATGCTTTCAATGTAGAGATTGTAAGAAGAAACAAGAAACAGATATGTCTCTAGGTGGCAGTGAGGTATTGGCCAGCAGACTATTATATATATATACAGACCTCCAAGTATAGCTTTAGAGATTTTAAATAATGGCCAAGTAAATATAAAGGATAAACGTATGAGCTTATTATATGCCTCTAAAATACTAGTGTTATGTGGCTATAGTAAAGAATACAGACAAAGGGCAATAAGTCTTTTGGACAGTAGTGCTACATGCAGATATCTAAGAAGAATAGCGTGGGCTAATAAATTAAAGAAAGAAACTGTCAATGAAGAATATAAAACTTCTATATAAAGTATATCTATCAATTATCATATCAAATACAATAAAAGTGATAGATTTATTAAATATTAAAATAATTAAAATAGCTATGTGATGATGACACCGTGACGTTTACAACTTTAAATCAAGAGTACCATTTACTAGGGTATTCTTCACTAGGGTAAACATCTGTGGAATTTACACATCTCCCAAAAAAAAAAATCAATAATATGTCAGCCATTTCCGACGCTTAGACGGACGCTAATGGACGAGTTAAAATCCAGTATCAAGCAGTTCTAAAAATGTAGCTTTTGAAAGCCAATACACCTACGCATCAAAAACGAAGGTTGAATAACATGAAGGTTGAATGACTGTGCACCATCATTTACGACCGAAAAATGTTTTGTAGTTGAATTAGATGAACTATCTCCGAGACGTCCAAAAACTGTAACCACGGTTGATACCACTACTCAAGTTCACTAAATGGTACTTACTACACAACCGTCAAATTAAAGTAAAACCAAGTTAAGGCTATGAACATGTCCAAAAAACGTATTTGTCACAAACTTAATCAAGATTATGAAATGAACCAGGTGTCTGCGCATTGGATTTTGCGTTTGTTAACTATGGACCAAAAATTGGTTCGAATTCAAATGAATTAGCATCCAAGGTTTGGTTGACGCAGATTAATCACTCTAGACCGAAAACATCAATACATCATTACACACCCCCCAAACGAAAATGAAATTAAAACAGTAGATTGCTGAGGGGAAAATGACTCCAAAGAAAGAGCATCCTAATCGATTATCTTCAGAAAGAGAAAAAACAATTAGAAGAATAATAGGCATTAGAAGAAAGAAGGCAGAAATTGCGGCAAAACAGATTATTTGCAAAAGAAAAATAATAATTGTGTAGACACTATGTGTGCATATATTTGAAGTGCGACTTTTCACGTCCGTCTGTCTGTCCGTCTGCCTGTCTGTTCGTCTGAGAACTCCATTCAGGTACCTCGGTCAACGTGCCGAGTTTGGTTCAAATCGACCCATAATTAAGAAAAATCCTGATGATTTCGTCCATTTAGAGGCATAGGTTCGAAACGTTGAGGTCGTCATTCTGTAACCCGTCCCCAATTATGCCGAAATCGACCCACATTTCTCATCGATATTAAATCCTTAGTCCTACCCTGATGAAGATGTAAACGAAACGTCGTATCCAAGTTTTCAGGGTGGGACTCTGTCGCTCACATAGCCTACCCACCAAATTTGGTCGCGATTGGACATCAATTTTTGACGTTTCTTACGTCAAAACTAACTAAAAAAAACTAACTGTCATAATGATACGTCTGGTACACGGTAAAGTTTGCCTTGGTCCAATCTATCGACATGTAACAGTCAAATTTCCTCGCTACGACCTCTGTGTGCTAGCTCATAAGTTATCGCAAATAACTATTATTTTTGCATCATGTTTACTATAATTTTATTGTTAAATAGTATTTTATTTAAATTTTACAATTATGCAACCCGATATACACCGCGATATTATTCAGCTACACATTATTGTCACTGATGCCGACCAGCAGTAGGCTTTTTGTCCATCTCTCTATATCTTTGATCATCCCCTCGAAGAGTCCCATCTTTTCATGACATTTTGACGACGTTTCGTGCACTATGACACCTCATCATCAATGGCGAAAAAATCGTCCGATATAAATGAAATTTGATATGTCGATAGATTGAACTAAGGGCAACTTGACTGTGTAGGACACGTATCACTGTGACAGTTAGTTTTGACGTAAAACGTCAAAACTTGGTGTAGTTCGATTGCGACCAAATTTGGTGGGTAGGTTATGTGGGCGACGGTGCACACGGTCCCACCGTGCAAAGTTGGATACATTTCGTTTACCTCTTCATCAGGGTGGGACTAAGGATTTGAGATTGAAGAAAAATGTTGGTTGATTTCGGTATAATTGGGGACGGGCTACATGATGACGCCCTCGACGTTTCAAACCGATACCTCAAAATGGACGAAATCAGAAGGATTTTTCTTAATTATGGGTCGATTGGAACCAAACTCGGTACGTGGATAGAGGTACCCGAATGTAGTTCTCAGATGGACAGACGGACACATGGTCATTTTAATACATATTTTGTAAAAGTGAATCAAGTTTTTTATTAATTTTTAATTTATTACTTTTTCAACATCTCAAATAAACTTTTTCAAACATATCCTTCAAAGCCTTCAATTTAATAATTGTTAGTAAGAAGTAAGAAGTTTCACTTCAAATATATGCGAACCTAGTGCACACACTATTTTTTGTTTTGATAGGATATTATTTATGTTAACACAAAACCTCTGTAATGTTTTATTACTTCCCAACTAGTGGGTTAGGTTATGCAAGACAATCTAGATTTTCATATTCTCATATTCCGTTTTCCTTTTTTCGAATGCAATAAACGTAAAAGTACATGTTCGTTTATTCCATTTCTTATCTATATTCCATCTTCCATTTCGTATATTACGTCGAATGAGTTTTGAAAATCTGTTTGAAAGATGCAAATATCAAATTGTATTTATTGCGCAATAACATTATTGTGCTAAAGGTCTGATTAAGAAAAGTAATTAACGGTTTCATTTATAAGATAATACAATTCTCCTAACAGTAATGTAATAAAGAAAAAAATATCAAAACCTAGATTGTTAATATACAATAAGCCTTGTTTAATAAGTTTCTGAATTGTTTGCAATATTCGTTCATGCGTATAGATTGAAATTGGTTTCGTGTTTCAATGTTAACTCAGCGATTTTTTTTTCAAACAAAACTTGTCTTACAAATCGGTTCCATTAGGTTTATTTAAACTAATTTTTCGACTTAGAAAAAGTAGTAGCCGTGTAATATTAATAGTAAGTAAGAAAATAACTTCATAAAAAATATCAGCCATATACAGGGTGGCCCGACTTGTATTAGGGAAACGTCGGCAGCATATTCTGCAGATAAAAATACGTAAAAAAGTTCGTATAAATTTATGTCCTAAATTGCTTCGTTTCGGAGATACAGGGTGTAGAAATTTCATTTTTATTTCGTTTATTATCAAATAATTTTTGAACGAACGTCGATATTTGGATGAAAATTAATAAACCAGTTATAAATAATTAAACCAGTTAAACAATATGTAGGTAGAGCTCCCTACAAGTAGTCATACTGACATCGAAATTAAATTTCTCATGTCAAAAAATACCCCACCAATTTTGATTGAAATTTCGATTAATAGTTCAGAAACTATTTAGAAAAAATCCAGGTAAACCGGGTAAACCCTGTATCTCCGAAACAAAGCATTTTAGGACGTCAATTTATACGAACTTTCTGATACTTACTTTTATCTGCAGAATATGCTGCCGAAGTTTCCCGAATACAATTCGGACAACCCTATATATCAAATACATCAAAAGAACTATACCGGGTGTGTCTCAAAAGTGGCTCACCCCTATTCTTTATTCTCACCTGACTTCTTTATTTTTTTAGTTAAAAAAACAAGATTTGGTATGTTAGTAACGTATGATCGAGGAAAAACGGCGTCAGCGATGGCTATGAAATGAAGATCGCCGTCATTTTATATGTCAATTTATATGGGAAATGT